ACTGGCCTCGGAGAAAGCGTCGAGCTCCTGTCAGGACGGTGATGAGGGTTGGGGGCACCCAGATGCAAGCGGCTGTTTCTCACGGGGCCTTGGCCTTCATTCCAGGGGGTGCAGAGATCAAAGGTCCTGCAGGGCACGCCAAGGTGAAAGAAGTGTGCAGCTTGTAGCAGGGATCCCTCGGCTCGCTCAACACGTTCCCACCTGGGCCGAAGGTCTCAAGGCCTGGTGGAGGGCGAAAGCACATGGTGTGTGCCTGGCGCGTGCGATGCTTCCGGCATTCAGTTTCTGAGGTCAGCTCTATCGATTCACAACTTCGACACTGATCGGGGCAAGCAAGCACGACAATGATTCAGGCACCCAATAGACTGGACACTCCGAAAAACACACTCAGAAAGAGACCCTTCGTGGCCTGCGCCTCCTTCAGCTGTACAATGCTGTGCAACGCCATTCACCTAGCAGCGACGAGACTTGCTGCGGAGTGAGTAATTGGAACGTGAATGCCGCTTGACACATGCAAGTGGCGCGCCTACTACGAGTAGCCCCTCACAATGAGTCTCCGTTACGGAGCAACTTCTGTGGAGCTGATCCAAATTGCTTGACGCACAACACGGATCCGCTGCACGGCGGTGGGTCTGCGGTCGCTTTACCGGACAGTTACACACAGTTGCACACAGCTGCGCGCGACTTCTTTCTGCCAAGGAGTACCTGACTACCTATACAGTCTGCCGAGCACGAGTATGTGCCACTCTGGTCCAGGAGCAACCGAATCAGCCCCTCACAGCGCAGAAGGGCTCGGCTGCAGGCTGCTTTAGCTGCAGCCTTTGGCCCCAGGCTCAGCAGCTCCCGCTTCGATAAAGCTCCAGGCTCAGGTCGAGGCACCGTGCCGCTTTGCCTTTGGCTGCCTTGGCTGCATGATGCACTCGGCTAAAAGTCCGGCACTTCACGGGAGCCTTCCCACTTCTCCTCGTCCTGTTGCTGTGGTCATGTTCAGGCAAATGCAACCGAGCTGCATCACCTGTCAGCTGCTACACGCCGAAATGGTGCACCACATCACACCACTCCCTCGTCACCGTAGGAGAAGAAAGTAGGAATGCCCCACTTCAAAAACAGAGGCCTGGCATGGAAAGCACGTAAACCCACAGCAGATTGAGAGGCATTTCAGAAATGGCCCAGCGAATGCAGGACAGAGGCACAATGTTGGATCCTCTTGCCGAGAGTGCTGGGAGAGAGGCTCCCCGAAAAGTCGGTGCCAGACTGCCTTCGAAGATTTCGAAGCCACAGGTCTTCACAACTTAAACAGGACTTCCTGGTGTCAGCAAGCACGTATTACCCTGCACGCCATTTGCGAGTGGGACCTAGGACTGCCAAAATGCGGGTCCCAACGGTGACAAGAACAGCAACAGCTCCGTATCAGTGTGCGCAACCCCAAGGTTGAAGTGGCCTCGACCAAGCCGGTCGTGTCCGAACACCACACGCCGTCCGCAGCGAAGGCCTCGATCTCCGCGCGCGGCCACCATCTCAGACGGTCCTTTCGGGCTCTGGGCTTGGCTTGGCTTCGGGCTTCACAGACGTCAAAGGCTGAGCCGCCGCCTTTCAGGTCCTTCCGAACCACGGACTGGGAGCCGGTGTAGAACTGGAAGAGAAGATTCGCATCGGGTTTGGTGGTCTCGCGAAGGACGGCCTCCTGTAGCTTGGGACTGGGACTGACTTTCACGAAGGTGAGCTCCTCCGTAGGGCTCTCGAAAAGCTCGGAGCTCGAAGAGCCGGCTCTGACAGTGCACGACTGGGCATTCTGTGCTTCTTGGTAGTCCTTCTTCGTCATCTCTGGGGTCACCTGGATGCTCTTCTCACACGTGAAGCCGGTACAGAGATCACCCAACTCATCACATCGCCTCCGAGCTTCTGCTTCTCCTCTTGCCACCGAGTCCTCTGCAGCGAAACCCAAGAGGAAGCTGCGTTTCGCTGCCTGGTACGTCGACTTTGCTACGGCTTCCCTCTGCCCGTCATCAGAAGGCTTGCCTCTGCAAGTCTTCACGTAGCTGAACTCACCAGCTTCTGGGGAGGCCGAGAGCCCCTCCGAACCTTCACGAACAGTACAGGATGCCTGCCCAAACTTCTCCCGACCCGGACCCTCCAATTCGGAAGCATCCACGGACGTGCCGCAGGTGACTCCGCGGCAGGCGTTCCCAAGGCGACGGCAAACCAGCTTGGCATCCGGAACGGAGTGCCTTCGAGAGATGCCGTCGGCATGTTTGGGCAAGAACTTCCCCACGTGCTTCTCCCACATGCACCGCGGCTCCTCGAACCCCAAATCCTCCCAAGCATGTCCGAAGACCCGACGCCAAAACCTTCGCCACGTCGATGCAAAGGTATCTGTGCCCCGATGGCCCCATGTCCTCCTGGGGTCAACGACCATCTGCTGCGCGAGCGGATAATATCCGAGAGCGTCACTCGCGAACTGCGACTGCGTGTTGATCAGCTTCAGTGCGCGTGTCAGGGCTAGAAACCTCTGACCCTGGTGCTCATCAGCGTCGGGGTGAACGAAGATGGTGAAATCAGGCAGGCTGTCCCAGTGGTCCAATATGAACTTAAAGTAGGCCGTCTGCTCCTCCCGCCGTGGTCCACCACGGTATGTCACCACATGGAGTTCCTTCACGCACACACGCAATCGATCCAAGACCTCTTCCGCAAGAGGCTGACACCAGGGCCAGTCTACCTGGTAGATGAAGAGCTCGGCATTTTTCAGCAAACCAGACTCTACGCCCTCGATCGGCTCACCGAAAGGAGGCTCGACCAACCAAGTCAGAAGCTGGCTGGTGCCCCAGCGGTCCACCACCTGGCAGTAGTTCATAACGACAGCAGCCGTCAAGCGTCGTGGAATGGCCAGGGCTCGGCTTATGTTCAGGACCCGCTCTGCGCCATAGTCGAGGGGCCAATTGTTCATGTCCTGAGGGGTGATTGTCTGGTCCCGAATAGCCTGGTGCAGAATCGAGGTATAGCGCGACATTAGAGCCTCGAAAGCACCAGGTTGGACGACGATATTGTCTTCGAGTTTCAGGAGCAGTGCCTGCAGCGCCACGGCCGGACACATTTTAGAGATACTATCCAAGTCCGCCAAGATGTAGGCGACACGGTCTGCATCCGCCAGCTCAAACAAACCCGTGCGGTAGTAGGCACGAGCACGCACCAGCATAGTGCCTACATCTACTCCTTGTAGAGACTTGCAAGCGGTGTCTTGATGCAGACTTACATCCTCGAGCTTCAACTGCTCGCCGAAGCTGTCTGCCGCCTGACATGCAGACACACAGAACCCGAGCCAGGCTCCGATTCTGCTCCACATGGCAAGTGCAGAGACTCGGCAAGTGCAGCGCAAAACTCATCGCAGAGCATGACCTGTGCTCCGCTACCAACTACCGCACAAGGCAACTACAAGATCGTCTGCCTGTCATGTTCGCTAAGAAGAATTGTGTGCTGTGTGACTGTGTGTGTGTGTGTGTGCAAGCCAGGTGCTCCGTGCTGAAAGCCACGAGCTTCCACAGCCATCGGAGTATCGTCGTTAAACTGCAAACATGTCTGATTGTCACTATCACAAAACTGATGAACCATAGTATGCCCGCAGTGCGCCGCAGACCGAATGGCAATCGAACATCCACAGCTTACTGCATACTGCAACATCTCTACGCTGAAGTTGCCACCTCAGAGAAGCACCCAACATGCTCTTGAGCTCCAGGGTTTTAACAGTTTTACGCCATTGACTACCTGAAGCTTGTCATGCCCATGTTCAGACACTCTGGCATGAAATCGATCCACGAATCCCGGAAGGAATCATCACATGACACGTATTACAACTCTGAAGCTTTGAGACTGCATCGCCAACTATTTTCGCATTTTGCACTGGCATCTGCTTGGCTGTGTTCCAGGAGAAGCCACGACCCGGCAGGTATGTCGATGCCTTCAGTTCCGGCAGAAAGCGGGTCATGGTGGTAGTCAGCTGAGCAATACCAGAATGCTGTGCTTGTAATTGGAGCTTTTCTAACCACCTTTTGCATCGATGACAGAAGGGACCAATACCAAGCAACATGCACAAATCTTGCAATGTCAGCGCAAAAACCGTTCAACCGGGGGGGGGGGGGGCAGTGTGCACGAGCGGATGGTGCAATCCGTGAGTTGCAATCTTGAGCCATCATCTGAAACCATCGCAGCCCAACAGCTTGTGCGCTGAGCTCTCGTCCAAAATCGCATGCACGAACGGCCCTGCGAAAATTGAAAGGCTTCGAAACCGTTTCACTCGGCGAAACTATGCCTGTAGCCCGTCAGCCACACAGCTTCAACAGGAAACCGGAACATTTGCGACATGAACTCTAAACAAGTGCACGTGGGATGCCTCCGACCGTTACAGCAGAAGGGTCCAATCATGGCTGGTGCTCGTGAGCGGCTAGCTTCAATTTGCGATTCAGGGGCTGAGTTTTCAGGCGCAGCACCATGTCATGGTAGAACGGCAAGCAAGCAGTCAAGCACATCCAATCACCCTAGACGCTAGCAAACTTGGCATGTTCTCCATTTGGGTGATTGTCAAAATTAGGGTCCCTTTTTGGGTACCCTAAATATTAGGTGCCGTATTGTATTACGGACCCAAAAAGGGACCATAATTTTGACAACAACCCATTTGCAGTTCAGCAGCTGTGCACAGGGCTCTTGCATTACGGCCATCACCTGTCGGCGGGCAGAGGCAGAGAGCACTCACTGAAAGCACATTTTCGGAGGAACTGGTCGAGAGTTGTGTCAGACAGACAAGAACAAACAATGGGCTCCCTGATCTTCACATTGTCCCAGTCGTCGCACTTGAGCAGTTGGTCAATCCTTTACACAAGAAGAGCGAGACGCGAAGCACACAGCCTCACGCAAAATCGCAACAAGAGCTGCAGAGTCTGTACAGGCTGCAACGACATACACCATCAATGTGAGCAGAGAGACTGGCACACGACGGTACATCACAGGATCTACGAATCAAGCCCTAGCGGCAAGACGTGCACAGTCTCTGACGAGTCAAAGACAGGCAGCTTGCAATCATCAAAGGTCAGTTTCCACACCGACGCAGTGCTCTGATTCTCCGAGAAATGCTGCAGTACCTTCGCCAGCATTAACCTTGCACGCTGCCCGTAGTAGATCAAGCTTTGCCGATAATCCTGCTGAACCTGTTTCGCAGGAGCTACCCACGCATCAAGAAGCTTCGTTTGCCCCTCATCCAAACTGCAGCAAAGAAATGCTTTCGATCCATTCACCAGGGTCTGTAAGACTCCCTCTTTGGAAATAGGTTTCCCGTGCTTGGAGCTTTTGATCTCCAGCAACTCCCCAGATTCGTCCACTGCATCCACCTCTGAGGTAACGAAGAAGCTCGTGCCGTCTACCCGCAGCGTCGTAGCGGCAAACTGGCAGAAAGCTGCCTCGCCACAAAGTAAGCGCTCTACTGCATGTCCTGCATCGTCTTGGTTGTGATAACGCTTGGGAATGTGCAGCACGCAAATCGTGTTCTTGAATTTTTGCAGGTAATAAGTGTCCTTGACTCTGCCTGAATCACCAGCGAGGGCTTTGATGAATGACGTGCCACACACAATGTCACACTCCGGCACACCAAACTTCCGCATGATGGCAATGCCCAGGCGGCCACTTCCAGGTTCGCCAGGATACTTGTGAGCGCCTCTCAGCACGTCCTTGCTCTTTTGCTTGTGGTTTCCCCGCGGGAGGGGCGCCGGGAGCACCGTTGGGACCCTTGCAACTGGAGGCGCCTGCAGGCGGCAACGCTCCATCATGTCCACCAAGTCTGGGGCGCACTCTAGGGCAACTGCTCCTGTCAAGGGTGTGTCATTCCACTCCACCACCATGCGGCCCTCGACCTTCAGCCATGCCGGATCCGCGCTCAGACGCAGCGAGTCTTCATGTATCTCCTGCACCCTTGAGAGTCTCTGCAGCTCCACAACTGCGGAAGCAAGAAGGTCTTCAGGCTTGAATCCGTGCGCTTCATGAAGATCCCGGTACACTGGTACCTTCAACAAGCCCTGCACTTCCTGCACATCCAAAGTCTTGCCCTCCGACAGCCAGCAGGAGACTTCGGAGCATGCATCGAGCACGGCTGTCTGGTGCTTGGAGCTCTGAAGGTGCAACAAGGCCTCCCGCATGGAGTTCATCGTGGACTTGCAAAGGGGGCACTCTGGTGGGTATGCGGTATGGCTGTTTTGTGTGGGCTTCTTTGCCTTAGCTTTTTTCGGAGCTCGACCGTGCTTCTGAATCATCTTCTGAATCTCGTCGGCGCACGCCTGGCACTTGCTCACGGGACCTTTGACTCGCACCGGGCGCGAATCATCTTTTGGGACAGTGATGCTGACACGGAACTCGTCCTGCAGCCGCTTGAGAGTCTCGCCACCTTTCCCGATGACCACACCTCTGTAGACCGCGGGGACTGGAACCTCGAGGTCGATGCGCACCATGGCTCAACCCTGTGTACCTAGCGCGTCCGGCTTGCAGCAAGGGCCGGAAAATGGCTTCAAAGGACCAGCGCAGGAGGCTCAAGATTTAGAGACGACAATGATCAAAGAATGCCGACCTGGCCACGCAGAGATATACGAATTGCAGCAATCTGGCATCTGCCTCGTCACAAGCAGTGGTGTGCAGCGCTCGCCAGGCCAAACCACTGCTCGGTGCTGGCTCGCAAACTCTGCGTTGTTCCGTGTTTGAAAGCCTTCAATGTGCTAGATTGGTCAACCTCTCCGACGATTGTGGCAGAAGCAACACTTCGCTCCACGAGACAGCCATGCGGGACAACAGCATTCACACCTGCAAGCATCTGCAAGCTGAAGATCAAACACTGCAGCGGCTCGTGATCTGGGAGCCGGCTCCAGCTGCCCTATTTCGCTTCCTAACACGGACATGTGTGTGAAAGCGGATGCCCATTTTCTGCTATGCTTCGGAATTTGACAATGTGAAGGGCTATCGGGGTCCCCGCTGAGTGGAAGCTGCTAGCCGATGATCCGATGCACATCTGGGAGGAAAGACAAGCTTTACTTCCACAGCAAACCCTGTCTGGACCGATACCTCTGAGAATTGCGCGGGCTTGGACGTCCCAGCAAGACTGCTGCAGCTGGGAAATGTCAGTCGATATATCTTGCGTAAGCTGCAGCTTTGGCTCTTCCAAACAACCCAAGCACATGGGGCTCACTGCTTTTCTCATCTTATGATATCCGTCTGCGCTGCCAGTGCATGCAAGTGTGGCAGTATCGATGAGCTTCCAACCACAACTTGCATGCCTCGAATTGCCTCAGCTACCTCGAATTGCCTCAGCTAGCCGCTAGCCATTTGTCAGGCTCGTAGTTGCTTCATTCGGAAGCGCGCTCCTCGCCGTCGGTGCTTCAAGTGGTGGTGGAGCAGGGGCTCGGTTGGTCACGCTGCTCTGCTGCATGCCTGGCCCTCCCGGCAGTGTCTGTTGGGGGGCTCGCGGCAATGGGGCAAAACTTGGCCGCGACTGTTCAAACCGAAACAGGGTTGGCAGCTCACCATCCGACTCTTGTGGGACACTCACCCTCCTTGCTGGCGCGTGCTCGGGGGAGGGCAAGTCTGAAAGATGCTTCGACCACTCGAAGAAGCTCTGGGCCAATTGCCTGGCATGTGTGGCATCGTCCTGGGAATACTCATGGGCTGGCAAATTTCCTGCCGAGCAGGCATTGGGGTACCGTGCAGCCAAGTATGCGCGCTTCAACCAGGCCACTTCTTCTTGTGATCCCGGTATGGCCTGAGGCTGTTTTAGCAGCAGTTATGAACCCGTCGAACATGCTTCAGACAGAGTTCCAACACTGCCTAGATGGTCCAGATTCGATGTGACAAAGAACAAACTCAACAATATCGCGTCGCCTCCATGGCGTCTTTCTCCGCATCTGTGGTGGGAGTGGCAGAAACCAGCCGCGCATAGAAGCCCACGAGGTCGTGCGAAGTGGAGCCCGTAACCTCTTCTGTCACTAGCCCACACGTTCGGAGCATAGCACTCTTCAACGCCAATTCGACGACTTGTTGGGCGTGAAATACCTCAGTCGCTGCTCGCAAAAGATGACTCCACGCTCGAAATCGCAAATTTCCTCCTGAAGCCACAGTTGTTGATATCAAGCCGCAAAAAGACTTGACTAACAAGGACCGAATTACCGTCGGCGAGTACAAGGCGTGTCTGAGCAACGCTTCCACAGTCTTTAACTCGCACTCTGCCTGCTGCAACCAACCTGCTGCCGCTTCCTTGTCCAGCTTCCTGGGCTCGGGCTCGGATTTCATTGCATGGCCTACAATTTTGTTGCCAACTGAGTGATGTGGCCGCAAACATCGCCCCGCAGAGCGATGCCTAGCTTAGGGTCTGAACAGGCTTCTGGGGCTCTGACTCGGCATTGCACGCTTTCTGCCTAATCGCATCGAACAGCGAAAACGTTCATTCGACTGTCAACACACAGAGAAAGTTTGGTGTGCAGACTGTGGCTTCTAAGCCATGCCGGTACTGGTCGGCACGGCCCGGCTCGTGCTTACACTTGTTCAAGCTTCTGTTGATTCGATCCTTTTGCTGGCACTACTCACTACTCGTTGAGTTGCTCCTTTACGAAAAAGCTTTGCTCAGCCCATGTGGAGCCACACTCATGAAGACTGCTACCAAAGAAAAGGAAGACCGAAGTAGTCTTCTTGCCGTTCGGGCTCCTCTCAGGCGACCACGAAGCCTGAGGGATGAACTCGGAGGGGCGCCTTGCCGGGCCGGCGGCCGAGACTTGCATTCCTCAGATGCTCCAGAAGCCCCCGACAATTAGGAATTAAGGGTTGTTGGGAGGTAGGAATCAGGGTCCAGAGCCTGGGGTTCAGGGAGGGAACGGATACGAATGGCAAAGACAAGAGTGCGCTCAAAGGGCGCTCGCGTCTGCGAGCACGCTCATCCTCGAATTCGTCAAACCAGGAGGCCTGCAAGGAAGTGTGATCATCGTTGCTCCATGTGCTGCTCACAGACGAACAAGACTCACGGTTTCCCCTGTCGGACACGTGACTCTGCTGCTCTTCCAACTCTGACAGTGCTATGCAGGTGTTTCGGGAAATAGAAACGCGCTACCAAACCCAAAAGACCCAGACTGGGACTGGGAAGTAAAACCGAAGTAACACACGAAATTGACTGATCAAAAAAAGCGAACCCTCGATTAAACAGAAGGTCGAGATAAGTCAGCCGTGACCCCACCTGCGAGGATCCCCGGCGCGACGCGTGACGTCCGTTCTCGCTGCCACTTCGGTGATCCTCTGCATAGGATGTAATACTTGATTCGAGGACATTCTGCACCACCCGTGTCAAGAAACTGCTGGTGCACACGCTCTCTTACATCTGTTGGAGGCTGTGGCAGGTTTACAGAGCATCTATGCTCAGGGGCTTATCTTTTGCACATGAGCCCCGATGTCCTCTCGTGCCGGGGCTGGTTCACGCAATTCTTCGTGACCCACTGTGTACTCGTCAAGCCACTCATCATCTCCGGGTTGGCCGTCTTGGAACCAATCACTATGCCTCCTGATCATTCTGAACATCATGCTGGCAAAGTGCGTGTTCCCTGCCCTGTCCGGGTGCCATGTCAAATACAACCTTCGCATGACATTCCGGTAGTCGGCTCTGCTCAAACGCTTCATTTCCCGAAGTTGATGCTTCACCTCCTCCAGTTGACGTGCCTGTGTATGGACCGCTTCTGGTGCTGAAGTATCTTGAGCAGATCCGGCGGCTGCCTGCTCGGCAGCAAGACGCACTGTTGCTTGGGGCACACCGCGGCCCTTGAGGTTGAACATGTCCATGTATCGCACGGTGCGCACGTCAGTCTCTCGCAACATGACCTTGTACAAGCGAGACAACGACTCAGCTTGTGAGTTCCCGGAATCATGCCATTCCTGAACGACGCCCAGGTAATACTTGCCATCAATGAGAACAGCCACGTGGGCGTGATTTTCAAAGCCCCGACTCATCGATTGAACAAGCTCGTCGTGGACTTCGTCCGGCAGCTCGCTGCCTGGTCGCAAACTGGAATCATCCGAAGGAAGGTCGGCTAGAATCCCTGCATTGTATAGTGCGCTGGGAAGTTTTGCTACTCCTCCATCGATCGAGCACGTTGTTACATTTTTCAATGCAACATCTCCCCACATCATCGTCGTGAGCTCCGCTAGACCAATGGCTCTTTCAATTGCACGCATCAGGCATTTACGCGTCCTCGCATCATGCGCCGTTCTGTAAGCTTCTTCGCTTATTGTCAGACTGTGCTGCCGTGTGTCAAAGAAGGCTACCAGCTCTTGTCGGCTTCCCGGAATAACTTGCGGCCCTTCCGAATGAGCATGAGCCAGCTCTGTTACAATAAGTGGCGTCACTGCCAAAACTTGCAACCTGCTTAAGCTGTCTGTGACCTTTGCCAGGAAGTTGTCGCATTCTGCCGGAGGCTCATCCTTGTGATGTCGCCAGATCGCCTCGCAAGTCGGGCAGGGTGAAGGGACGAGTCCCGGCACACGTTCCAGGCTTTAGCAACGAGTAAGCCACTACGACAAACGATCAACGACCCACCTTCAATGCCGCCAGGAATGGCTCAGACCTCAGGAATTGCTCGAAGTGCGCCTGGCAGATCTGGGAACGAGCTTTATCAGAACCCGACTCCCAGTCGATGTATCCGCTATGCACGATTCTTATGCTGTACAGAAATTTAACATCAGCCCCCAAACAGAGAATTTTTGCCGTAGCATGCCTTGGTGTCCGGGCTGTCGCCAGCCGAATACTCGTCGGGCGACAATACTTCTACCACCTTAGAGTACCAAAAAAACTCATGCCAAGATGGAAACGAACCGCGTGAAGTAGAACAGGGAGATCTAGAGGCAACCCGAATAGACACAAATGTGGCTTCGAGCGTTCCTACCTGTTTCTTGAGCGAAAAAACTTGTGGCTGTCCGACAGTCATTTGGCTGATTCTAGAACTGCCTTCTGTCCTAGTGTTAGAAAATGCCGGCCTCCTCAAGGGTCAGAAGGAATGTTGTGGAAGTATGGAAGTACTGCATGCGTTTGCAGACAAGGGACGAGATCTGACAGTCGCTTCAGTCCGGCATGCTTCGTCAAAGCTTCCAGAATCTCACGGTGAGCACATGTAGACATCCTAGGTAGCACAGCATCCAAAGAATAAAAAAGGGAATCGAGATAGTCAATCGGAGAGAAACCACTGAGCTGCCTAGCATCTCGGCAATTTTATCAGCGTGCCGGCGTGGCCAAGCACACTCTTCCAGAAGCTTTGTGCAGCAGAAGTCAAAATCGGCATGCGCACATCTTGGCAGCCACTCGGACAAATCGGCCCAACAAAGTACTGCTGCGGGAAGCAAGCGAACTTTGTCTCGATGGTCACGACTGGGCACGTGCAGCTCGTGCATCACCGCTGTGTTGACATGAGCTGGCAAGCGTTTATACCAACCTCGCAAGCATGCCGCCATGAGCCTGTCGTGGAACCACAAAGACAATGTGCGCTGCTGCTCAGCGACTTTCTTGGTCACAAGCACAAAGTCTTGCCAATCTGGATCCTCCCGAACTCCTAGAGCAGTATACAGGTCCTTGAAGTCCTGAACGGCCTTGTGGAAGAACCGGTCGAACTGCCAATGCTTGAAGTCACCAGAGGAGAAGAAGAAGGTGCTCCTGAGAGCCGCGTGTGAGTGCGCACTCTAATGCTCTGTCCCCTCGCCTAACCAAAAGCACGGCTGTGAGAAGAATAGTTCTCCTCCCCCAGCCGTGTGTCATGACAAAAAGACGACCTTAGCAATGCTCCTTGGCCGCGCCAGGTAGAAAGTTTGCTTGTCCGGAAGGTTCGCAGCATCCTGAAACTCCACAGTGACACAGTGCACCTCCTTCAATGGTTCCAAGTCCATCTCGCCAGCTTCCTGTAGCTTCCTGGAAACGAGAGCCCTGCATGTACGCAGCTGGCTCCACATGGCGCTGCAGCCACTCACGATGTACTCGTCATCTGCTGATCCGAGTGGACACAAGTTACGCATGTGCTGGACCACGAGACTTGCAGGGAGGTGATGCTCCTGCAAAGCACTTCAAAACCTTGCACCGAACTATGAACTGCAGGACTCTGTCTGAGATTCTGCTGCTTTGGACTACCAAGACTATTGCGCATCTAACTTTCATCGACACAGCGGCTCCTTCACGAAAGCTCTCAAGTGTTCGAACATCCAGTCTGCATGGTAGGTCCTTAATTCCCACGTGGCCAAGAGACGAATAGACGAAGGCAGTACGAATTCGATCCGGTAGCATCAGCGTATCAACACCATTTGTTCAGGATGCCTACTGAGATCGATCATGATTTATCCAGCAAGAGCCTTGTAATAGCCAAAAATTCGACATGTCCGCCTAAAAGACTTACAAACTGCAATCCATTACAACAAGTGCTCCTTAATGGCTTAGCTTCATCAAATGGTCCAACTGCCGCCCGCTGTGGCACGCCGCTGGCCGCACACTCCACAACTGAGCCTCTACGACAGCAGCAACACATTGTCTCTTATACCTGCACTGCCTGCATACCTTGCTCCTTGCACGGTGCGTTGGAGATCCCTTGCCTGTGTGTCAAGAAAAGAAGTGTCAGCAAAGCTTTGCAGCTCAATGCACGTTCCCTCTGTCCAAGACATCCTGTCTTGCTCCAGCAGAAGCTGGCGTTGCTGCTGTATTTGACCTTCAGCCCGCAACGTGCGCACGACCAGAATCTTCATTCTTGCGATTTCGACCAGTTCTGCCAGGTCTGACTGCTGGTCGGTGGGATTCCGTAGCTCTGCAGACATAGCTTGGCACAGAGCTTCCACAAGATGGCATGACATCTCCTTCGCACTGTTCGTGCAAATTCGACGTGCATCTTAGTGCCAGGCGTATGGGTGTCTTATGCAACAAGCAGCCAACTTTCCCTGTCCTGGACTCTGTCGTTGATCTGTCCCTCAGCCAGCTCTTGTAGGTGTCGGGCGCAGACGCGTAGCACGCGGGCCCCAGGCGAAAGCTTCAGGCCAAGCGTTTTGATGACCTCAGCCTTCCGGATGTCTTCCTCCATGGCCGGGAAAGCTTCATCTCGTTCTTAAATACTTGACAGTGTATTCGCTTGGGGACATGAAGAGGCCGGAAAGACTGTGAACCGACAAAACCTGCACCGATGCAGATCCGCCTGAATGTCGCTGGCGGCCATGTGGTCGTGAAGGACAGCTTCGAAGCATCGTGCAATTGGCCTATCGCGTCTCTCCGACCCGAGCATGCGATTCTTCCATGTCTCAACAAAGTACCAGACAAGACCGCGAACAAGCCTGAAACAAAGTTGACTATAGAAGCTAGGCACAACTGTTCCCAATCCAAGACGTCCTTCGGCCTCATGATGTGTCCTGACCTATTGCGAACGAAAGCACAAGATTTGCACTTCTCGGTGATGTTGGTCGAGGACTCTTGCACAATGAATGTGTTCAGGACATCCCACGCTTGCTCTGAACACGGCCCAGAGACCAGATGACCCAGCGATGGGAGAACACGTTCCAGGACATAGCATTCGGCAGTGTAGAGCGACACTCCACACTTCTTGTAGATTGGCTCCACTTGTTCGGTCGGCCATGCCAGCAAGGTCGTACAAGTCATTTGGCCGGCCACATCTTCTGCTGAACCTATGCCTGGACTGCAGGGCTGAATGCCTCGGATCCATTGCACGGGGCATGACACAACCATGCTCAGGCCACAGGATGACAAGCAAACAAGTCTTCTCAAACCCAAGATGCAGCAGTAGTGGGTGGCGTCATCGAAAAGAGCCGTAAAGGAAGGTCGTCCGGCCAAAGCCAGCTTGAAGAGTGGCAACTTTCGCGCTAGCTCTCGGACTGGCGTCGTGATACAAAGCACAGCAAGAAATGTGAGCAGCTCGTGCCGCTGACTTCCAGTCAAGTCCTCTAGCTCCGCGTTCTCTTGCAGTCTCACAAGAAGCTGCAAGAGCTCGATGGGCTTGGAAACAATGTGTCGCTGGACCAGCGAGCCCATGTCTCCTGCTTTTGCGAACTCAACCTGTAGGAAGCCGAGCCTGCAGCACATGCAAGCTCCGACAACCATCTGAAAATCAGGGCTAGGCCAAAGGGTCACTTCCGCACTGCTGCCCAAGCTTGTGATCTGGGGCCCTCCGTGTCCTGTTATTGGTAAGATCTTCCAATCCCAGACCGCTTGCAGGGCTGCTTGGTGGCACGCAGTCTTAGCTTCAGTACAAACTTGCTTCCACAGCTCCTTGAGCAATTGATTCTGACTCCACTCTGGCTGCGTCGCAACATCTGCTTCGAGCTCTGCACGGTACTCTTGAAGATCTGATATCTTCAGATCGCGCAGGCCCCACGGTGCGATCTTCACCCTGGTGTCAACATCCGGCGCATGCAGCGGAATGTCCTGCAGGACTCTCCAAATATCGCGGTGGACGAAAAGGTGCTTGCATCGGCGCAGAAGTGCAGAACCCGTTGTGAAGGCAGGTGTCCCGAACATGCAGAGGCTCTCATCTGCATGGAGGAGCAGAGGCACATTCTGCAAGTGATCACATGTATGCACACTGGGGATCTGTCCCCGAGCAACCCGTTCATGCCAGTCTCCACGGTGTACAAAAGCGAGCAGCTCCAAAATCTGAGCTTTATCCTGCAGGCTCCAAGTGTTTGTTGCATTGAGGCTTGTCCTGGACTGATGGCCCTTCTCATGCCACAAGTCACTCAGAAACCTACAGAGATGGGCCGTGGAAAGACTCTGCGAGTGACCATTGACAAGCTTCCGCACATTAGATGGCAAGTGCACGATCGGCAGCCCGTCACTTGCTAAGCATGCCTGCAGCTCCGGACGGAGCTGCTCTGAAGTCAGAACCATGTTGGGGCCACGAACCCACCTCACTGCTGTCTGCGACATCTCGCTGAAGAAAACCACTGGAAAGATCTCCTCACGCCATCCGTACCGCAGCGCAGACTCAGCCAGGACTGAGGGAACATGGGTCTTCGAAGTGCTTGTGTCTGGCGCAGGGAAAAACTTGAAATACGTGGCCTCCAAGTCTGCCTCTGTTCTGACAAGCTCCTTGCGGATCAAAAGAAGCTCCTTCAGACACCAAGCAGCCGGGCCCTGCAGCAGCTTCAGGTTCCATCGCTGCTCCGGTCCACGCTCGCCACCGCTGGGCAGAGGGAAGTGCTTCCGAGATGATGTAAATATGAAGCTTCCATTGATCCAGGCTGGTGACCCTGTCTGCTCGGGAGTGGGCAAGCCACAGCAGATGTACCCGTTTTCGTGCCTCTGGGTGCTCCCATCCATCCGCACTGCTGCAGCAGCATAAGGCAGAACAGCGAATCCTTGGCTCTGGCTGTAGAACTCTTGAGCGAGCAAGCGCAGCTCGTTGTCTGACCCTGCCACCCTGTGTACAATGGCCCAATCCTGTACACTTCTGCCGGCACCGCTGCTGGACACAATGTGCTTCCGCATTGCTAGCTGCAAATCTTCATCGAGGGAGTTGGTCTGCAGAACCACTGGCCCTAAACTGCGGAAAAAGGAGATTTGTGCCTCCTTGTGGTTGGGCTCCGGGAATTCCACATGGTGACGAAAACTCTGTCCTGACTGCAAATCTTGAAAGGTCAGGACCTCCAAGGACTTGCAGAACAGAAGCATCCCAGCACCATGCGAGCGCATCACCCTCATCATCTCATCTCTTACATCGTCGTCACCGACTGCCCCTGCTAATTCTGAGCAGTTCTTGCGGAGGGCAAGGCGGAATACCACCGGAAAACATCTGCCATGATGATCGAAGGGAGCCCAGGTGTCTGGGAAATGCTCCTTCACATCCTGAACGCCAAAAACCTTGCCACGCTTCTGCCCATCTCGTGCCACAAAGCTTCTCATGAGATCAAAGAAATGCAGCTGCCCATCCGCCAACAACGTCGGACAGTCTGAGTAGCGGTACATGACATTCATTCCAACGCCAAAGCGGCCGGAAGATAAGAAGTCGTGACGCTTCTGCGACTTGCCAACCTGATCGGTCAACTTGTTCCAACAAGGTTCTCAGAAGGCAAGATTCCCACCAGAACGGGCAAAAGAAGTCATTACCGAAGCTCAGATGACTCACTCTTCATTCAGCACAAACTCTTGTCTTCAACCCCAGGAAACTTGTTGCATCCGTCGGATGTCTTCTGGCGCCAGTGGTTTGTCCGAGCAGATGTACCTCAGCTCTTCTCAGGCATTGGGAGGATGTCCCAATACCCGGGCTGCAGCACAAGAACGTGACCTAGCTGCTTTGAGTGCATCACGCGCGGGTTAAGAGATCTCTATTCCCCCCTGCCCACAAGGAAGATGAAACTACTTACACACCTTCGATGTCCCACTTCACACCCCTGGATGCCTACCCCAAAAGTGGGGTTTGCAGCACTGCAGCCCGAGCTGATAAAAACGTAGTGACTGGGAGCGTGGTACGCGATGGTACGCGCAAGCACGCATAGTAATAACATCCGTGGTGCAAGGCAGGACCTTGCAAGCCGCTGCACCGGCTGTCCACAATCCTTGGAGTCTTACTCCGCTGCGTGGAAGGCTCTACAAATTCTCAAGAGGGCAACCTGGGGAGGACTTCGGAGTCAGGGCTTCGCCTTCGGAGCTCCAGAGCCTCCTGTGGGTCTCGAATCCGGAACAGCACCTGGTGGTGGTGGATCATCCTACGTGTTAGATCTCAGCTCAGGCTCTGTGCATGACCGTACTCCGTGGTATCGAAGAAGAAATGGAGCTCCTTGGCCCCGAAATCGTCGGAGTTCCTAAGAGTTGCATGTACAAAGTTACGGGTTTAGGCTGAACGTCTGGACTGTGGGTTGTACAAATTCGGCTTCACAGCAAGGGCAACGCAACGAATCTCGGGAAGTCCGACCTAACCCCAGGCTGTCTTGACTGCTGAATGCAAGTCCGATCGTCTGCACGAACTCGGAGACCACATCGCTCTCCCGCCCATACTCCTCGGTTCAGTCCATGGGTGGCGTGCTCAACTGCCGAAGGGTTCGTCGCCGGTAGGCTGCTGCAGACGAGGCTCATGTGCACAGCACAAAGCTATACAACTCCGAATTTTTAACAACAGTACAAAAGCCACCAGGTCATATACCATCGCGACAGTCTGACTGGCGGTACCCAACTTTCTGAAAGTGCGGCCCGAGTTCTTTCAGAAGCTGGGCAACCTGGCTGACGAGATCGGGCTCCTGGCCTTAGTGGATTCTACAGGCAGGCCTTTAGCAGCGGTTCCAGCTTCCCGAAGTGCTGAAGTTTTTTCCAGCGCTTGACACGATTTCTCTGAGCCTGTCTTTCTTGTACGCGAGCGGCATGCATGTAGTTGTCACGGTTCACGGGTTGGCAGGACCCAAAAGAAGCACTTCGGTGCCCGCAGCAGTCTTAGCTTAATTACAGTTGTCCACCCATGCCGGGCGGTTCCAGCATGTGCAAATCAGAAGGGACCCAAACCAAAACGCGGCAACTCCAAAGAAGTGTTCTGCTTAGTCCAAGATCGAACATCAAGTCAACGCACTATTCGATGCCGCCCAAGCCAACCCTGTAAACAAAGAAGATGTATGTCAAGATTTGCTCATTCCAGAGTTTGCTGGTCTTGCTGAGGAGCCGAAGCCATCTGCTTCCCGACGATCTGCCTCGCAACGCCTCGTCGGGCTCTACTCGGACGTTTAACTGCACTTGAGCTGGTTATCAGAAGGCGTTATCGCATGCAGGCAAGCAGGTGATGTCTGGGACTCCAAGCGCGTTTAGTTTATGCTGCAGAACCAGGGCAATGTAAAGTTAGCCGATGTTGCGTCTGGTGCTTGCCTACACTTCTGCATGATCACCAGCTCTCTCAGCTTCCAAGGCACTGCGCCAACTTCTCCCGCAATGACGCGCACCCCAGACTGCGACCAGCATCCTCCACGGGAGCAACATCGGGAGAAGCTCCGAAGAGAACGAACTACGGTGTTTCCTTTCAAAAGTCACTGAAGTCACTCGAAAATGCTGCACCATCCTTTATGGTATCCCCAGTTCCCCCCGAGCTCCTCAGAAACACTGCCGTGGAGTAGCTCGACTGTCTCACCGCGGGACCACGGAGCCTTCGTGTTGAGCATAGGGTCTGGCCGGGTTGCTGTTTGGATATGCAATTCCGAAGACAAAGAAGGCTGACGAGACTGCTGTGAAAAGCAGGCTGTCCCAGAAGCATCGTCGATGGAGACGTCCCGCGATGGGATAACCTTGCCGGACTTCGTAGGGACCAGTGCACGGCACAGCCACTCCTCGCCGGCGGAGGCTTGTTGCGCAAGCTCCTCACAAAGTGAGCAAGCCTTGGCCATGTCCACGTCCTCAACGGTGCACATGTATGTCCCTGCTAAGATGAACTGGGAATCAACCACACAAACCTGAGGATCAGTGCTTTCTAGTTTCTGGGAGGAACTTCAGCAGAACGTTTGGATTTGGTACCTTCGGTGCTCCCAGAATCCGTGCCACCTCTCTTGCGGCACGGCCTCGGATCTTGCCCGCAACGGGGCAGAGGAGGCTGCTGTTCTGCTTCGGATCCAGCGCCGTGTGCATCCATGGGAACAAGTAGCACTCCCCATCTCCCGTAGACTCGCATGGCCAAAGGACGTCCCAGGCCCTGAGACGCTCGCCCAGGCCACGCAGAACACTGCCGTCCATGTGCTGCAGCGCTCTAAAGACCGTGTCCATGTGCTTGGCCAGCATCTCCGAAGCTACCCGAGGAAACTGGACCCTCAGCCGCGTGGGTGCTTCTGTCGACACGACTCCCGCTGAGCTACGTGAAAGCGGGATTGGCTGAGGCTTGCACGATTGGTCGCTCTGGGACAAAGTGTGCCGAGAGAAGGGAGCTGAGCCTGTCAGCTTAATCAGCTGCTCAATCCAGACCTCCGGCTCTTCTTCCACAGTGCGGTGAGCCGAAACCTCGGCTGATCTTGGCACTTCTGAGTTTGCCGTAGACTGCAGAGTCTTACAACTTGACTTGTCTGATCTTGGAAGAGATAGCCAAGCTGCTACTGGAGACACGGGCAGGGACTTGGACAAAGTATCTCGGACTGCCCAGACCAAGTTCAAGCTCTCGGCAGGGAAAAAGTTGTGACGGTGCCTCCAAGGACATCGAGGCTGCCTTGTCCCCACGCCCCGGATCTTCTCGGATTGCCGCTTCGACCCACTTGATGTGTGGAAGTTGTTTAAGGGCTGCTCCCTTGTCACCGGAAATGTTTGCGCTGTTCTCACTCAGATACTTGTACAGAGCTCGCGACGTTTCGAGGCACTTGCGGCTCGCCACATCCTTTGCCTCTAACACAACCTCAACTTCACATGAGATCATGAGACAGAGGATTATTGCTGCTTTGCGGGTTGCATCAACGGCAGGATCAAGCTTGAGTTCGTCCCAGCGGCATCCTCCCAAGTAAGCTGAGATTTTAAGCCGCATCGACGAAGCATGTGGAAGATGTCTTCAACCTCAAGCTCAGGTTTGGAGTGTGGCGAGGCCTGCCTTCTTCCGTCGTAGAGAACTGCAGATAGGCTCGTGATGACGGGGAATGATTTGCGGTTCTCATGCTTTTTGGGACTTGCTGGCTCTGAAGTTGTGGACAGCAGCCTGCTTGCACTGTTTCCAACGTCCGGGCCTCCTGTGCCGTGAATGTGCTCAGGGTCTCGTTCAGCTGCGCCTGCTTGCTTGCAACCGTCCTGACAGCAAACGGCGCCGAAAGGATTGAAACCCAACTTGTCCCAAGCTTCGCAAGGACACACAGGAACGAAAGGCTCTGTCCTGAAATGGGAGAGCTGAGCCTTCGGATCGAAGGCCTCCCCCAGTGGCAGCAGATTGGAGATCTCTTGCTCGGAGAAGCCAACGGGGATCCACGAGATGCTGACCAGCTGCGACTTCAAGTCGTTCAACTCCATCTGGCTCATGGAGGAGCGGGCCCAGTGCAACAAGGCCAACAAGAACCGCGGTAGTTCCGGAGTTTCGATGGATGGTTCTCGTAGAGTCTGCACAACAAGATCTAGCAGCCACCTGCATCCATGTGCGGAAATGATGCTGTGATGCTCGAGGAGGCCTCTGATGTGCGAAGGCGGATCGACCACTTGGTACTCCAGTTTCCGACACCATTTCTGCAGTTCATGCTTCTGACGCTGCAAAGGCTCAGTCGGGAGGTCCATGAGTGAAGCCTGCGTTTATAGTCAGTCTGCTTCTCACCAGCTTAACTTACTTGGACTCGAAGAAGTTCAACGGCAGACAATATCGAATATTCATCCCTTGCATGACATGAGAGCTAGCAGACAGCGGCATCGGAAGTGCACTTCCGCCTCTGATGGAGACACCGGCTCATCCGCAGCATCCAGCAGAACGGGCCGCTTGGAGCAGGACTGAGCAAAGTGTTCCACGCTTTGCTTGACGACGTCCTAGGAACTCAGACTGGATTAGCAGGCAGAAGGCGGCGGGGGGCCTCAAACGGACTTGCGACATCTGCACAGTGCGATTGGACGATGGCTCGACATCCGATAGCTTCTCTAACACAAACAGCACTCTCAGTACCCCTCCTTGGTGCTCCCCAAGTCGGGCCAAAGTTGAAATACATCGGCCGGGAGCATGTTATGGCTATGGTCGAAGTCTTCGGGTGGACCAGACATCAGCCATTCGATGCTCTTGGCATACAGCTCCGGCATCACGCTCTGAAGTATATAGTCGTTCCATCTGGCCCAGCTCTCATGCTCAGCATCGAGACCAGGCGAGTTCCGCCAGAAGTCCCGGCGATTGTTTGTAAGGCAAAACCCTGCGTGCATATGCACAGGAAGCCCAGTCTCAACTGGCAGCGGCAGATAGGTCCAAGCACGTCCTCGTAGTCTGTCACCAAGTAAAGGCAGGGCCAAGCACACAAACGGAACCTCAGAGCACTCCTCGCGCAGCTCCCCTCCAAAAGGCTTTGATGGGTCAAAAAATGCGCCGTACCGCATCCATTTGTTCTTCACGACTTCGCCAGCCTCGTTCACCTCCACATGTACAAGATCATGAACATGTGGCACCTGCACAGGCTCGTGTACGATGTCAACACATGTCGCAATGGTATCCTGGTGGAACTGAATGCGCCATGCTTATCGCAGCCGCACTTGCACGTCACGTGCTGCTTTTGATGAAGAGACACCTGTGATTCTGCGCTGCTTGCGGGTAGAGCTTCGGCAAGACCCGCATGCAAATCTGCCACAGCCTCGAAGTCCTCAAGGAAGCAGCGGAGATTTTGCATGTCGTTAGGAGGGTCTTGCGTTGAGATCGGAGAAAGTGTCACGCTGACCTCAGCTGTTGGGTAAGGGTAAGGGTAAGCCCTCCGTCTGAAGGTCCGACCGAACACGACCTGGCAAAGACGTACAGACGAAAATGTGTTTGCTCTGACGGGCCCAAGGACAATCTTCTCATAGCTGCTTTGACCATCCTCCCACTCGAAGATCTCGATCGTACGTATGTTGGAAAGAAACAGCCTTGGACCACATCGACATTATGAGTTCAACTTCTGATTACTGGCGAGCTTGGAGTGGGACACCGAGTTCGCCTCACTCCTTGGGGTTTTCGGCGTCCGATGACGCCCTGGGTCCAAGGCTCCGGCCTCGGGTTTATGGTTTCGGCCTTGAGAGTGGTCGGCTTCCGGATTGAGGCCTTTTCCTTTGGCCATGATGATGGGGGTTTGCTCGTTAGTCTTCGGCTTTAGGCCTAGGTGATGCACCATCGGATTTGACTTGAGGACTTGAGGATAGATTAACCTGTAGAGTCTTGGCTTTGGGTATAGAGTCTGCGGGCGGATGGCCCTGGCAAGTCGAAAGTGTGGACCGAGAAGAGCAACAGATCCGGAAATATGCAACCGCTGACTAAGCCCAGGAGCATCAGGTCCCCGTTCGATAGCTCGTTCTTAAAGTCGGAGAAGACGCTCCTGGCTCGCGAAACAGAGAACACCTTCGGCATGAAGCTCGAGAAGTGAGCGAACTCTTCGAGTCGGAAGGGGACCTTGGCGGACTCAAAACGGTGGTTGAGCTGTCTTCGGAAAAACTCACAATGACGAAGGGCTCTGACATTGTTACTGTCCTGTGCAAGATGATGCTTTACGCATTCTACCTTCTTCTTCCAACGTGCACAGCACTAGTCTCATGGTCTCAGAGCTCAGGAGATTGCACCTGCAATCTCCTAAGCTGTGCTCGCTTCCTCTGCAGGAATACATTAATTCGTCCAGGATGACTCTACCTAAATCACAACCCCTTTACTTGAACACTCTGCCAAGTCCTGGCTCGGGCTGGAAGCCTAATGAAAAGCGAACAGAAACTGGCTAGATGTTCAGAAGCACATGCAGGGAACACATCACTCCCAGCGGCAGGCAAGCTGCTCGTATGAGAGTTCCTTTGAACGGCACGTCCATGGTACACCCAAACAGTCCCACCTTCGCTGTCCGAATGGCAGACACGGGCTGAAACCTCTGCAAACATTTCAGGTTGCTCCAGTCTTTTGGCCTGTGAACCTTGGAAAACATCTCTGAAAAGAAACGTGAACTGCCAAGCCGCGAACGGCGAACATTCATCCGGGAATGCGTCCAGCAATGACTTGTGATCGAAGTCCTTCCGCAAGAAGTCGGTCCTTTCGCCATGCCCTCCCCGCAACCGATTGTCCTGGGTTCCTCTTTGACCAAATCTAAGCTCAAGCTCTGTGCATATTGCTTACCTTGTGCGTGAGACGGATATCAAACAGTGTTGCTAAACCAAGCCTAGTGACAGGGTCCAGTATCGCATACTTCGTCCCAGATACAATCTGAATCATGTCACCCATGTGGAAGAAAGATCTGGATCCCATGCCGTACCTGGGCCACGGTCAAAGGTCCATCCCCAATTACGCTGCCTTGAACCCCAATTTGGCAGCCTAGCCCAGCTGGCCGAAGTTCCTCTGTGTGTACCAGGATTGCCTTACACCTCACGAGTTTGGGCCATGGACAACTACGGACTCTGTCTGTTCCTGCATCTGAGATCTGGATTCAGTTTCAAACCGTCGTGGTTCTAAGTAGAACCGGGGAACACAAGTTAGCATGCAGACGAACTCATGTGCAACACCGCACAAAGCCGGAGTACCAAGAGGAGCCTCGGACTCAAAAGAGATGTGTCCTTAAATCAGCTGCTCTCAAAACACTTGCTTCTTTGTAGCACGGGCACTTCCCGACCTTGCTCGGACGATGCTTTTTCTCCGAATCATACATGTTCTGCAGGCTCTTCCAGTCGTCTTCCTGAAAGCCGCCGTTGTCCCAAAAGATGAAAGCAGGCCCATTAAGCCGCTGTCGCCACTTCTGACCTCTGTGTGCCGGTGCATGTTGTCAAGTCTCGAACGTGTAGCTCACTCCAACCTTCCATCCTGTTTATCCCTCACCTGGAACTGTGACTTTAAAGATCTCAAACCCGCCTTGAGGTCTCACCCGATCTGCAGCATGAGAGCGGAGGTCCAAGATCGAAGCAAAGCGATCTGCTCTACCGCTGTCCTGATACGACAGGAACAATGACTAAACACGTAGCGATTGGTTTCCGAAGTCACTGTTGAAGCCGCAAGTGGCTGCATCGAGAATCGGATTGCAAGTCTGCTAGTTTCGCGATTTACTTCGGACAGGGAAGCTATGCATGAAGAGTATGCATGAAGAGCTTGCAACACAGACACGTAGCTTGACCTGACGGCCGGTGTCGAGGAAGCATATGGAACTTGGCAATTGTCTTCAGTGCTCGATGCATCATGATGAATCTCAAAGAGTCCTCCGCATTTTGAAGTGCTTCGAAGACGAACTGGACGCCGGACGGGTAGTCCGAGAGCAGCTGTTTCAAAGCAGCGGCCGGTGAGAGGCGCAAACCGAATGTCTGCGCAGGGACACTGTGGGAATGCATCGTTTTTCAATGCCTATGTGTTTCTTTCCTTGGTCCCCAGAAATTCGTTCACTTGCACCTATCCGATCACTATGTCACTGTGCATTGACGAGGTTCCTTCAACGTTGCACGAAACTTGCAAGATCCTGCCTCTTCTTCCATAGCGTTTCTTGCAGCAGGGACTGCTTGGCAAGAAGCTGCTTGTCGCAGAGCCAACACAGTTCAATGCGGAATGCGTTGTAGCAGAAAGAAATTCGTGGAAACAAACCCAGCTTCCAACGCTCTACGAGTTGGCGAGACAAACTGGCTTTGCCCACTGCTTCACTGTCAATAAGCAACACCTACCCCTGCCAGCACTCGGCGGCATGTCAAAATCCTCTAGGCCCTTTGGACCAGAATCTGACAACACGATTGAAGAATCTTTGAATCCAATTTGCCCGATTGAAACTTTTCGGACTTTGTCTCGTGTATATCAGCATGAAACTCACTGCGCGCTTGTTTGCAAATGCTGCTGCAAAATTAGCCTAGTTATTCTCCCATTATGTGGCAGATTCTACGGTGCCGACGGTTTGCCAGCACACGTCGGCATTGGAGACTAGCACTTGTGAAACATGTCGTTCGCAGCTTTTCGACATGCCGAAAGCCATGTGATCTGTTCTGGCTGTGACTCCAAGATGCAGCAACCAACCTTTCGAATCCAGAGTGTCTCGTGTGCTGTTTGCTTGGTCCTGGCATTCGGATGAATAAAGCATGTGCCGCCGCTTCCTGCACAATCGGCCCGGCCTTCGTACACTTTGGGACGCATGGTCCCGGTGCGCAGAGTTGGGGTTAATCCGAACCCCACTCAACCACGGGCCGCCTCAACTCCAGCTGCAAGGCTTTCATGGACGGCAACGTGTACAAAGAAGGGGGCGTTTCTTCACCTACAAACTTCCCGCTCTCGAGCCGCGAAAACATGAAAAAAAAGCGTCCGCCGACACAAGAAGAGAAAGCACACGAACACGCTTCAGGACGGCACGAAAACGTTTCAGGGGCTTACAAGCGAAGAAAATATGTTTGAACATGCATCTTGGCCTGCAAGGCTTGTTCACACAGAGGGCTTAAAATCCTTCAAGGGGGCGTAAAAGCGAAGATAAAAAATAAAATCACACAGGAACGTCTTCTACGACGAGAAGCTTTTTTGAGCCGCGAAAATTTCCATACAAGAATCGAGTTCAGGAAAAAACACTCCAACTGCAGCTCTGGAACAAGGGTTTCGCAGCTCTGACTCCGGTTGGAGTTGGTGCTCAGGTTGACTTGCAACAATGCAACAACAGTGCAAAGAAAATGTACTTTTACGTCCAAGAAGAGTCTTGTTTTGGTGCACAAAAATCACAACCTCCAAATGGCATTTTGGCTGCTGCAAGTCAAACAAATCCAAACGGAGTTAGGCTTCTTCTTGGTCGAGTCTGTCCTAGCAAGTATCGATTTTACAAGCATTTTAGAAATGTTTTCGATCTGCCTGATTTGGAGTTCGGAACTTTATGTTGCATTCCAAAGTACTCAAACAAAGAGTTTTGCATTTAAAGCTTAAAAAAAAACAGTGGAGAAGTTTTAAGTTGAGCCTGCAATTGTCGCAAAACGCAGAAAAAAAAAAAAAAAAAAAACAGTCGCAAATGGAAGCAGATTCAAGAAATTCTTTCTTCTGAGTTGTCGTCCTTCCTTCGAACCCATCCACATGGAGTTTTGGTTCTTTTCGAAGCTTGGAAGCTCCGACCTCAAGTCCGAAGCCTGTTCGTCCTCACCTTCGAAGCCTTCGACTCCCGAAGACTTTACTCTTCGGGCCCCCCTTCATCCTGCCCTTCGAAGCCTTCGAAAGCCCTGCCCCCTTCATCCTTCCCTTCGAAGCCTTCGAAGCCCTTTCCTCACCTTCAAAGCCTTTGAAGCCAGTACTGGTCTTGGCAGAGTAGATGTGCAGAGCAACATTTTTAATTCAAAACATTGAAAATGTGGACACGCGCTGGTTTCTACTTTGGAGACAGGTGGCTTCGTTTCAAGCCAGAAATATGAGTCTAAATTCTTTTTCTGTGAAATTTAGATTCCATTTTTCTTTGTCAAAAAACCGTTTTTGTGAGCTTTATCCTTCTTGTGAATCTTCTCACGAGCCCCGTAGTTCAAATTCTGCGTTTTTCAACTCTCGGCAAGAACCCCAGGTTCGATTCCTTTTTTTGTTCCAACATTTCTCAAAGAAGAACGTTGTTTTTTTTTTTTTTTT